TTAAAAAATAGTTTTTAAAAAACTAATTAAAAAAAAAATAACACTAGTTCTAGAGGTAGTAGTAAATAATGATTAGTAATGAAAATATCAATAAAAGTTGGTTATGTAATTTAGAAATTTAATATTGAAAATATTGATAAATATTGACAGTGTATGTTACGGTAACAATAACAATAATAATAATAATAACTATGATAATAAAAATAATGATATCAATAATAATGATAACAATAATAATAATTACATTTTTTGTAATAATATCAATAAAATCCACTATCATGTTTTTCCCCTCCGTATATTCCAACATACATCGAAGGATATACGTGTCAGAACCTTAGTTTGTCGTCACTTTCGTTCGTGGGATTTTAGATTCTGTTGGTCATCCAACCTTTGGACCTGTATACAAAGACCTAGGCTACGAAGATTAAACAGAGTGACTTAATTGTTAAAAATCGGGTTTTCTTCATTGAACCTTTGACAGAGGAAAGAGAACGAGCCACAGTACAAGGGCCAAGACTCGAAGAAGAAAATACGCTTTGATTATAACTGTTATCTCCCTTGATTCTCTAAGCCGACCGACCGACTGTTTTCTTTTCCTTTCCTCATATCTCTCTCTCTCTCTCTTTTTTTTTGGGGGGGGGTCTATGTTCGCGCCAAAATGTTTCCCAAGGGGGGGAAACTGTTGCGACAAAGACGTCGCTGGTCGTCTGCTTGTCGAGATCTCCCGGACTCCCAGCGGGCGTGAGGGGAGCGCCGGGGCGCGGGAAAAGTTGGGCTGAGATACGACTTGCTTTCTCATAACCGGATAATACTTTACCAATTCCTATTTAACCGGTTCAAGAAGTTGAAATATAATGTTGAGTTGGCGGTTCGCATGTCTTGGTTCTAATAATTATATCAACGAGAAAGGAAGGATGGGGGAGAGAGGGAGGGGAGAAAGAGAAAGGAGAAAGTGGGAGGAAAAAGAGAAAGGATCGGTGCGACGGTGGAGGGAAAGGAGAAATTATTATGAAAGAGAGGAGGGAGGAGAGAAGAAAGTGAAAGGGTAGAGGAAGATGAGAGAGGGAGGGGAGAAAGGGTGAAGAGAGAGGGAGAGGAGAGGAGAGGAGAGAGCGGAGAGAGAGAGAGGAGAGGGAGAGAGATTGAGTGCAGTATCTCGGTCTTTCTTCTGGGATGTTGTATCCCTTCCTGGTGTGGTTGCACGACCTTGACAAGCAGGGTCGGAAGCCCGCCTCCTAAATGATCTGAATTGTGTGGACGGGGGCGTAAACACAGCTAGATCTCCAATTCAAACACTGCTAGATCTCCAATTCAAACACAGCTAGATCTCCAATTCAAACACAGCTAGATCTCCAATTCAAACACAGCTAGATCTCCAATTCAAACACTGCTAGATCTCCAATTCAAACACAGCTAGATCTCCAATTCAAACACAG